ATCAATATAAATACGGCAAAGAGACGGTTTTAGTATTTCAACAACAGTTCTATTATTAGAAGCATTATCTAATGTGACACTACTTATTTTATCACAAATATAGTTTTTTAAAACATCTATAATTGTTTGAGCTATATAACTACCTGTTTTATGCATTTCACAATATTTATAACCTAAAATTCTTTTTTGCAAAGTCCAATTTTCATCAATCCAATGCGCAGTAATTGTGAAATAATCATTACCATTTACACTACGGCCCATATCAGAAGTAATAGCTATTTTACAACTGTTATAATAAAATAAACAACGAAGATATTGAAAATGTTGAGCTTGATAATCAAAGATAGCCTTTTTAATTGTATTTCTAGTAAAACCTTTAAAATGTGGATTATACACAATTTGAATATAATGAATAAAACCGGGATTTTCAGCAAAACTAAATGGCAAACCCATAACAACAATCATTTTAGCTAATTCTTCAAGATCTTTTTCTCTACTATATGACCGTTGTATACTAGAACCAGAAACATTAGAAGGATTTAATTGTATTTGGACCATATTAGANNNNAGAAACATTAGAATGATTTAATTGTGTTTGGACCATATTAGAGCCCTCTACTCCCACATTTTCAGGAAGGGTGGTACCATTTTTTTTAGTTTCGGCTACAGCTCTAGCATGCAAAAATTCATTTTTACAACATGACATTAAATGATTACTCAAATGTCCCGTCTCACCTTGTTTTCCTACAGTTTTATGACTCATTCTATGTTTACATTTATTACAAATAGCTTGTGTTTTATCTTCATTCTAAGTCATAAATTGCCACACAACTGATTTTTTATTGCGTTCTACCTTAGTCCTAGGATGCACGGGGGGAACGGGAGCAGGACAACGAAAGGGAGCGGGAGCCGGGGAAGAGGGATTTGGAGTGGGACTAGTAGCTGACGGTGGCTCAGTTTCATCACCATCATATTCATCAACATTATTATCAAAACTATCAATATAAGCATTAACATCATCATGTTCATCATATTCAGGTAATTCCTCATCAAAATTACTAAACCTTCTTTGTAAATGTTCATGATAAGGATCTAATCCACTATTACTATCAATATTAAAAACAGTTTCATCAACATGCGTATAATCATCCGTATTTATTCTTAATTGAGAAGTTTTTTTAGTTTTAGATTGAGAAGTACTACCGGTTTTTTTATTTTTCTTGGATTTTGAGGTAGATAAATTAGTGAACGAATTAACTATGGTTGTTTTACCCTTTTCAATAATGTTTTTTCCGAAATCCATATTCAAATATAAAAAGTGAGTAAATTATATATAATACGAAAATGTAATGCAAAATTTTAAACAAATAAATAACTAAATAAGTAGAGACTAGAGACTAATTACTCACAAAATAAATAATTAAATGCAAACAAATAAATAACTAAATGAAAAGTGAGTTGGAACAAATGTACCAAACGTCTACTTTAAAAAAGTAGACGTGTATGACTGAAAGCCGAAAATTGAAAGTTGAATTTTGAAGCTCCAATTTCCAAAGACCAAATTCGTAATTTAAACGAGAATAAGAGATTAGAGAGTAGAAGATATTTTTGTGAGTGAAAAGAATGAAAGATTGGGGATATTTATAGTAAAAAAAAAAATGATGAAAATGTAGTTTTTAGAAAGTTGGGGTTTTAAAAAAAGTTTGGGGGGTAGGGAGGTGTAAAGGGGAGTTATGGGGGTGAAAGAGCCATTGGTGGGGCCCAAAACCCATTGCCCAACGACTCTCAACGGCTATATAAATTTATTAAATTTAAGTTTAAAAAAAAAAGTGACGAACCGGGACTAACCGGTAAATCCTTGTTTCCATCCCGTTCTCCCTCCCGGACCCGCATAAGTCCGGATCTAACCGGTACAAGCTGGAACCGAGACGGAACCGGTACGGACCGGAACCGGAATCGGCACCTCCCAATTCCGTTGCTAGACTTAATATCATGTTATGCTTTTGTTGTAGCGCCTCTTCTTCATCTTCCCTTATATCAAAACCCGTGAGAGTATTAACAAATTGATTAAGGGTGGGATATGGTGCCTTTCCTAATATGATAGTCCTAAAGGTCTTGTATTTGAGACCTAAACCTCTAGCAAAATTAATTACTTTGCTATCTTCATTGCAAGACCATCACATATGCATTTAAATTCATTGATGTATTCATCAATCTTTTTGGTTCCTAGACTAACACTTTGTATTAGGGGTGTTCACAGTTTGGATAAAAACCGATCGAACCAAATCGATAAAATAAAACCGATTTTATTTGGGTTTGGTTTGGTTATAATTTTTTTCGAAAAAACTGAAGAAATAACCGAACTGATGAATTATATACATATATTTTATTAATATAAAGACTTAATATATTATTTTTATAAACAATTTTAAAGATCTTATACATATTTTCATTAAAATTTCTTTATAATTTACTTATTGAAAGCAAAAATGCCCAAGATGAAAACATTTATCTTATTGATTTCATGTATATGAGTGTTTATGATAATTTTTTGTGGGACTGAAAATGTTATTGTCTCTTCCTTCTAGGCCAATATAGTGAATTTTAAAGCTTTATTGATACTAAATTTAGTGATTGAAAGTTCAGTAATTAAGTCATTCTAACTATTTTTCGTTTTGAATGGATTGTTGTCATTTTTTTCACATTTTGAATGAATTGTTTCTTTATTTTTATGTATGGTTAATAACCGAATAATCGAACCAAACCAAACCGAAACCGATAAATGTATATTATATTTGGTTTGGTTTGATTTTAATAATTTTAAAATCGATTAAGTTGGTTTGGTTTTGGTTTTGGTTTTGACCAAAAACCGATCCAAACCGACCCGTGAACACCCCTATTTGTAGTTGTTGTTTAAGTTGAAACTCCTCATCTTTTGTTGCTTGGAGATAAGTTTCTTCCAAACATTCCCACATCTCCTTGACAATTGAGCAACCCACAATTTGGTACATGCTTTCTTCTGTCAAGATTCTTGAGATCCAAATCCTTAGAAACACATTTTTCTCCTTCCAATCAACAATGGTGCCACTATCTTTTGCATCCTTCTCAACCGCTACAACTTTCCAACAGTCTGTCCAGTGGAACAACTGCTTTTACTTGGTTCATTCTCTATGATGAGATAGGTTTGTTTCATCACGTGAATCAATTGGGATATTTGTGTCCTCCATATGAGGTAGTTTGTTGGCTTAAGGTTAATGGAGCAAGCGGCAATGAGTTGGTGAAGTGAGGAGGTCAACATAGTGTTGGTAGAAGAGGCCATTGTAATTTAACGTGTGGTTGGATATTTTTCTCTTTTTGATCAATACTCAAAGAGCGGAAGAGCTTTCATGCTCTGATACCATGTAGAAATCTCACGTAAGTATGTAGAAATCAAAGATTGTATTGATGATTAAAATTGTTAAGTACATACTCCTTATATAGGGAGAGAATTGTAGAGTCCTAAGTTAGCTATACTTAGGGGTCGTTTGGTTTGAATATGAGTTATGATGGGATAAGTTATGTTGGGATTAGTTATGATGGGATAAGTTGTCCTGGGATTATTTCTTATTGAGTGTTTGGTTTGTTATATTCACAATGATACATATTGATAAATTTTAAGAACAAGTTGTTTGTTTACAAAATTACCCTTCACTTTATTTAAACTTTTTAAATATTTCTTTGTGAGCTTTAGTTATTCATTTTTTAAAATAAAACTTTTATTTTATTTAACTTAAATATTTTTGTTTATGTATTCCCATGATAAGTACCATGTGTATTTAAAAATATAACTTTTTTCTTATTTAGCTTAAAAATAGAACTTCCCTCTTAAGTTTATTAAAGAGAAGAAAATTTATGAGAAATCAAAATAAAATAAACATAAGAATTAGTCAAATAAATTCATAAATAAAAATTATATTTATATAGTATAATTTTTTAATAGAAAAATATGTATAATTATCATAAAAATAAGGAGTAGTAAATATTATTATACATGGTATTAAAAAAAATGTAAATATACATAAATGTAAAAAATGATGTATAAAAAGGATTTAAAGGGACATATTTGTCATTTTCTTATTTTATCTCGGGATAAGTTATCCCGGGATTACTATACCACCCATGGGGAGGGATAACTTATCCCGGTACTAATTATTAATCCCGGGATAAGTTATCCCGGACTTGCCAACCAAACAACATAAATTTTTTTTATCCCATCACTATTATTTCTAATCCCTCACACCAAACGAGCCCTTAGAGTCCTACTACATTACATATTACTCCTATTACTACTATAATAATAAAATAATTATAAATAATATAATCCTAGTCGTAATATAATCCTAATTGTAACCTAATCCTAATAGTAATATAATCCTAATAGATATAAGTAGTCTAATCCTAGTGTGACTCTAACTCTACAACAGTGTTGTAAACACGTCAGTCATCTTTGTTGGACATGTTCCTTTGACATGTTCCAATCAACTTCCTTCATCTTCAACAAGATTAATGGCACATTCATTTATTAATTTATGTCACTATAACAAAATCACCTTTTAACGGCAATAAATATATACACATCAACAAAGAGTGATAAAGTTTTTAACCACATTAGTTAATTGTCATTAGATCCAGTATTGTTGTACGCTTTAGGAACATTTACAAAGAGTGCTAAATGCTCCTAAAAATATGTTTTTAGCGTCAATTAAACTATTGTCGTTGATTAATTGCCGTTAAAAATCATTTTTTTATATAGTGTGTATCAATTCAACCTCTGATAAAAAAAATATACCTCCTATTTTGATCGCGCAAAATTAGTGTTGTATTAATTTATAACATATCATCAATGTATAACAGTGCATACATGTTATTAAGTTTAAGGCACAACATAAGCTAAACTAGTAGTTATTTCTAGCTATAATCCAATTGATCAAAGTCGACTAGCTTTTTATTCCTTGTTTTTATTTATTATTGATATAGTTCATAATATATATGCATATTGGATATTAGAATGATGTGATGATCAATCATTTGATGGAAACAACTTCTTGTAGGCCTTTGTTAAAGCCACATTTGTGGTATTAAATCCACCATCAAGTATGAGATTATGTCCACTCATATATTTGGAATCATCACTTGCCAAGTACAACACTCCATTTGCTACATCTTGTTCATCCAATGAAGCTCCTTTCAAATTTCCTCCTTCTTCAAACCATTTGTCTGCCTTTTGTTTATCTATTCCAAATCCATTTAGCATCAACGGTGTGCTAATGCAATAAGGAGAAACACAATTAACTCTTATTCCATATTTTCCTAATTCGACTCCAAGATTCTTTGAGAGCCCTAAAACTGCATTTTTTGAGGATGTAGAGGTGTGTGAGACACCAGTACCATATACCACAGTCGAAGCACTTGCCGTGAAAAGAATGACACCTTTCTTATTTGGGATCATCACTCTAGCATCATGTTTCGCACAAAAAAATGCACCAACAACATTTACATCGAACACATCCTTAATTGTATCATAATCAACATCTAGAATGCTTGAAATTGGCTTACCTAATACACCAGCGTTACTGAACATTATGTCAAGCTTACCAAATTTGGCAATTGTTGCATCTACTGCGTTTTGAACATCTGATTCAATCGTGACATTACAATGGACAAATGTTATGTGTTCTGTGCCAATTTGTTTTACTAATGAATTTCCGAGATCATTTTGAATATCCGCAATTGTAACTTTTGCACCATGTTGAACAAAAAGTCTAGCTGTGGCTGCTCCTATACCACTAGCTCCACCAGTTATAATTGCTACCTTGCCTTCTAGCCTGCAAAAATAAGTTCAAATATAAATTAGTACTATTTTCAAGAACAATAATATGAATAGGGAAAGTAAAAGAAAAGAAAATAACTTTTTGGCTATTGGGGATTGAAGAGAAGAAGTGGTCATTTTCTCAAACTAGAAAGTTGTGTGTTTTTCACATATTTAGATAGTCTCTATTTATAAGAAAATCATATACCTTATATTTAATTCTTCCCAAATGCCTAATAATACTAATGAGTAATGTGTCAAAAGGTCCATTACTACCCTATTCGTTATACATTAACCCCATTAATTTTGTTTCTACCAGAAATGTACATTATGCCCAATACATTATTTAACAGTAATGTCTTTATGATTTGAATATTTTTTACTCATTGCTATTAAGGGGGAGAGGGAAACCTAGCTAGTTCCTAGTAGTTAGGTTTAACTTTGTCAAACTAAACTATTCTAGTAAAGAAATTTTACTTTATACTATAAATTACAACTACTCATATTTGTGTGAAAATAATATTTTCTCCCTTTCTCTTATTTTATACTCCCTCTATCCCTAATTACTTGTTCACTTTTGAATTGACATACCTATTAAGAAAACAATTATTGGCATAGTGAGTTTACCATTTTGCCCCTATTAATTATGAAGTTGATGAATTAAAAACTTAAGATGTTCAAAAAGTTATATCGTTTTCAAAGTAATTAATTTGAGGGTATAATAAGTAAAAAAAATTGTCATTTCTTGATTTGTCAAAATGAACAAGTAATTAGGGACAACTAAAATATGAAAAGTGGACAAGTAATTAGGGACAGAGGGAGTAAGACTTAATTTAATTTGACATAAAATTTACAAATATATATTAAAAAAAAAAAACTTGTTAGTTTATATTAGATAAAAAAAATACATATATCATCTTAAAAATACTTTATAAATTTTATAGTCTTTAACTATATCATGTCATATTTATAAACATCAGGTTTACGGTTTTAAAAGTTAAAACTATGACTACTTTCGAGAATATAGGGGTACGTGTCTAATCTCATAAACTTGGTAATTTAGAAGCGGGTAAATCACATAAATATGCTATATTAAAAAAATATTTACCATTTATGGCAATATAATTTTTCTAATTAAATATAACAATTCTTTGAAATTAAAAAAATTGTTCTGTCTATCTGCGCTTTGCCTCTTTCTTTGACCTTTTTTCTCTTCTCCTCTTCTTATTTTATTCTTCTTCTTCGTCTCTTTCTGTCATTCTTTCTCTTCCTGCTCCTCTTTCTTTTTTCTTCTTCTTCTTCTGTGATGAAATTTTCATTTAAATAACTATTCTTAAATCAGTTTTTGCCCGCATTTCACTATTTTTATCCAAAAACACGACGAGAAGAGAAACAGAAAGACCGAAAATTTGTACAAAATCATGTTCTCAAGCAGAAATTTCAAATCTCTAAAATTGCAGCAGCAAGAGTTCACTATTAATGGTCATTATAAAGCTTCAAATTTTGAATTCATTATATGAATTTTACGAAATTGTGATTAGTTTGAATAGGTTGTTCCTACAAATAATTGAAAATGTCGTTTGAAGTTTATATCTTAATTTTAAGAGGATTTAGTTAAGTTTATAATTGATTTTAGGAGAAATATTAGATTGAAACTCGAAAAAGGTGAAGCTTATGGAATTGTATCACAATTGTATTAAAGTTATATTAGATATGTTTCATAATTGTATTAAAATTGAATTAAAATCATGAACAATGCAATAGTATATTTATAATACATATTGCACACTTCACTCGTTTCTTAGTCAGACCAACAAGAATAATTTAGGTAACACACTAATAGTACATTTATAAAACATGCGCAATACATTTTTAATACATATTGCATCTGTCACTCATTTTCTTAGTGATAAATCAAAATAATTTATAAGACACATGTGGAGCACATATGACCATTTCTGTCACTATCTAATTCCAACTTAGATTTCCTTTCCTTACTGTCAAGTGACTTTCACTCCTTCTACTCTAAACTATTGTGTGCCTATTTGGAGATAAAATAAATTTTATTCATGAACAATACATTTATAATACATATTGCAATCGTCACTCATTTTCTTAGTATTTTATTATGAACAATACATTTATAATATGTATTGCAAATTTTACTCTCTTCTTAGTGATACCAACCAAATGATTTAGGTAATACATTTATAATACATGTACACTACATTTTTAATACATATTGCAAACATCACTCATGTTTTTAGTGAAACAAACCAAAATAATTTATAAGACACATATAATACATGTTTTATTCATGATTAATACAAGTTTAATTCAGTCTATAGATTATTGTTTTGTCTTTCGTGAGTTACGTTTTTCATTCATTCTTAATTTTCTCTTCTAATTCAACTTTAATATTGTGTAATACACTTTTAATGCAACTTTAATTCATTTTGTAGTTTATTATTTGTTACTATTAGATTACTTGTTTAATTCATTATTGATATAAGTTTAATTAACTCTACAAATCACATAATGCTCTTTTGTTTGCTACATTTTGCATTCATATTTAATTCACTTCTAATTCAACTTTAATATGTGAGTAATACATTTTAATTCAAGTTTAATTCATTTGGCAGTT